TATACTCTACCCTGCTAATATCAACAGAATAATTGAAGAACTTTTAAAGCTGGTCTAGCAGTAAGAATCCTTTCTACACCCAAGAGGCATTCCTAACAATCAAATACTTGCAGCCAGTTATACATCAAGAAGAATTTAAATTCACTGAATACTTTTAATGTCAAAAGGACTTCACTGAAAGTTCCCTGATCTGCACATTTGACCTTATGTCATAGAGCTGAAGCTAATCACCACCTAGTTTCTTCACATATAATTTATGCACATAATTTCAATTACTTTAGACAAGTTATAGAGGATATGAGGTTTCTGTGTTACATTGCTGTTAAGTGTATTTGAATACAAACAGTACTTCATAAATTTAAACCTATAATTGATTACTGGTGTACCTGATAAATTACATGAAAACTTACTTTGTGCTTAAAGAGTAAATGACCTTGAGTATAAGGAGGACATATTTTCACACAAAACAAAGCAAAGTAATACTCAAATATAAAGAAAGAAAAAAAATACTTTAATCAACGTCTCCACTGCTGTATATTTGGTACCTAGTGTCCATGCCAATACTGGGAAAGTGTTGTGTGAGATATTCTACAAATGTTTGGTTAGACCTAGCTTCTGCACTAAGAACTTACAATATAAACATGTGTGTTTGCACATGAGGGTCAGCTCACCCAGAAACGTTTGTAATTGCAGCTGCCCAGCTGTGCGTGAGAGGCTGCAGTGCATGCCCATGTCAAGGCTATCTTCTGTGTGTTTAGCACTGAAGCATCCTGAGTGGTTTGATGGCATGGGTGGTTGTACAGTCACAAATGAGGATACCAAAGGGGAAACAGACAAAAACCAAAGACTATCTCACAGTATAAAAGTATGGGAGGAAACTTAGATGATAAAGCAAGATGTTCATACTTTAAAAAAGGAGTCAGACTAGATTATTAGAATGTGCCTTTCTGAAGCACTTTAGAGCAGAGGAAGTTATCCACCCACACTGATATTTAAAGGGATATACATTTTCAGTCGTCATTACAGAAAATTTCTGCTAACAAACCTAGACTTGTAGCTTTTTACATTTTAGGTGATTCCTGCTTTGCAGGCCTAGAGAGTTCATAGTTGGCTGCATTTCACAGTCCATGCAGTGAGTCCATGGGTAAAACAATTCACTTGCTACTATTTTGAGGGAACATTCATTCCTTCTTGCTCTCTTTTTACATAAGATGACATCCACAAGTCACTTCTTGGGACGAGCTTTTTTTTTTTTACAGTGCTTATTGTGGTCTTAGTCTTATGTTTATTTCTATGTATATAATTATGCTTCACTCTTTTCATTCTGAATTTATGTTTTGTTTTGTTTTTTTAAATTAATAAAATGTGACAAAAACATCCAGCTTTTATAGTTTGAAAGGATATAAACCTCCTTTTGCGCACACAGTGTTAGAGTTTAGAGAAATGCTGTTTCAAAGTCTGTGCCTCACAGTCTGAAGAGTAGACAATTTTTAGTTTTAAGCTGCTCTTAAAGGCTAAAGACACCCACAGGAAATGGAAGGGCCAGAACTAGCTTGCTTCATACAGGACTCTGAAAAGTCCTTACAAGTCATGGTTGTTAACTACTAACCTGAACTACTTTTGTGTGGTTCAGAAACAGAAATTGTCTTGGTTCCAGTATCAGTTGGATGATCCAACCCTGCCAATTTACTTTTGGGTGGTACTGCACAAGGCCCCATCTCACATAGGTTAATTACAGCTCTTAAATAAATGGTCATATACAACAGACCTGTGTATTTAAAGAATCATGTTTTTAAAAACAATGTTATGATTGTTTCCCTTAGCAGCCTGATCCACTCTGGAGAGAAGTGCTTGACTGGAGGTAACTTTTGCAGCAGACAAATGCCATTTGTTGTCCCTATGAAAAACTGGTCCAAATCCAAGTTTAAAACCTCCAGGGAAGAAAAAAAAAAAAAAAAGGGAAAAAGAAAGTATTATTAAATTCACACATACTCAGTGGCAGGCACTTGATAGCATATGGCAGCTAAATATGCCAAGGACTCTTCAGAGCATACGGCATCACTTAGCAGCTCATACTTGCCAAACTGCCTCTGCATGTGACATCCCTCAGGGACCAAGCTCCTACTCATGCCCTCTGCAGGCCCTAAGCTGGTCTTTTCCTGCAATTTCTCCTTTCTACAGACAAGGGACATGCCGACTGCAAGAGCTCAGCTTCTCCTTGTCTTTCATGATAAGATTGCATCATCCTTTGTGTGGTCCCTTGCCATCATGTGCATTACAAGGGATCTACCTTCAGGTTATATGGGTTGTCTTAACTCAGATATTTCTAAACACTTCATAACTCGAGTTTTGCAGATTAATTCTTCCAATTTAAATGACATCTTACATTTATGTGATTTTCTAACATAATTTTAGCTTAAAAAATTATATCTTGACACACATATGTTTGCTTTTGTCAAACCTCTGACTTTGGTAAAGAAACAAAAGGCCCAAATAGCAATACTGTAGATGCTGAAATCTTGCGTGAGGTAAGGTTTGTACAAAATGATAGTATTTTTATTAGACTAACTGATATATATTTAAAAAAAAAAAACACAACCAAAACAAACCAAAGCAACCAAAACAAAGAACCCAGCATTTACAGTCCTTTATGAGCCCTTCTTCAATCTGAAATGAAAGCAGCACTCCTGAAAGACCTTCTAAGTTTCATCAGCTCAAGCTTATGTTTCATCTAAATCTGTCCAATATATTTTACTACTTTGCCATGATACTGTACAACTAGTGTCCATATTAAATGCTAACAACCCCACAAAAGAGTCCAACACTGACTTTGGGTTTAACAGGTTTTGATCTGTTTACCTTTGGTTAAACCTAGAATGTGCCTCAGATGTCTCATGCAGGCAGGTTACTGGTGCTATCATTCATTCTTTCTGACAAGTGATGGAGGGGAGTACCATTCCTTTAGGCCCACACAGGAATGCCCATTGAAGGTGTGGAGAGTTTGCATAAAACCTGCTGGCAGGAAATGACCACCAGTAATTGACTTTCTTAACACCCCCCTGCTAAACTGTGCAGCTCATGGCCCAGCAGTGTTGCATCTACAAGGAGACCCTGGAATGTTTATTCACCTTTTCTTTTTTCAGCGTATCTCACATCTTCCCACTATGCTTATGCTTATACAGTCCCGTGACTGTCAGTTCTGTTGCCATCAGGTCTTCTAGACTCAATACAAAAGCCAGACATATATCAGAAATTAATGGATATATAATTCTTGATTCAATCATTGTTTTTTTATATCACATAAATGAACGATTGAACCAATAAAGTTTCCTTTCCTTCGTTTGAAAGTTCGAAAATGCTGAGAGCTAAGAATATAGCACCGTACTGTGGCGTTACCTTGTAACTACAGCTGTGAATTCTAACCAGCTGAGTGACTTTAAATTTACAAAACGGGGAAGGACGCAGTATATGGGTCTTATTTGAAGGGATTTTCAGACTAACTCTGCAGTACTCTAGAGCGCTAAACTTCAAACTGTTGGGTTTTATATACAAAAAGCAGGTTTTGGGGTTGTGTTTTTTTTTTGTTTTTTTTTTTTTTGTGACATTTTTGAGGAACACAAATTCCTACATGAGATTGTGAGCACTACTGTGTTAGTTTCTTCAACATTTCAACTCAGTAGGACCTGGGAGATCAGATCAAAGCCTGTTCCATGCTGGAGAAGAGAAAGCTCAGGGGAGACTTTATAGCAGCCTTCTAGTACCCAAAAGGGGTGTACAGGTCTAGAAAGGGACCTTTTACAAGGGCATGGAGTGACAGGACAAGGGGGAATGGCTTTAGACTGACAGAGGGGATTTTTAGATTAAATATTAGGAAACAATTCTTCATTGTGAGGGTGGTGAGGCACTGGCACAGGTTGCCCAGAGAATCTGCGGATATGCCCATCCCTGGCAGTGTTCAAGGCCAGGTTGGACAGGGCTTGAGCAACCTGGTCTAGTGGAAGGTGTCCCTGCCTATGGAAGGGGAGTTCAAAGGAAACGATCTTTAATGTCCCTTCCAGCACCCTCCCCTGCAAAAAAAAAGGAGGAGAAAAAGAAAAAAAAAAAGCAAACCCACTAACCAGGTATCAAACCCTAGATCAAGATACATTAAAATACTTGTTTGAGCACACCATCGCTAATTCTGCTCACCCACCCATTTTTGCATATTTGATCACTATGGCATAGGTCTGGCAGGATTTTTCTGCGTAACTTGTTAAGCATGCCAGTTTGACAAGCTGCTTTAGGAAAAGGTTTCTGCTCTTGCCGTTTGGTTTAGCAGATGCTGGGTTGCAGTTCTGTACTCATAGTGTAGAGGATTAAGGAGACAGAAGGATCTCCATTAGGGAATGCACAATTGTCCAGTGTAAACCCAGCTGAATCCAATAGGCATTCCTGTCAAGAACTGTCCCCAGTTCAGTTATCTATTTGTCAAATCAACTCAACATTATCTTCTGCTTGGAGAAATCACTGGCTTAGTTCTGCATTCAAGGAGCAGGATTAGCTGATACTTAAGATACAATGGAGAGTATGGAAGGAAGCAGGCAACAGTGCAAATCAGATCAATATGGTAAGATACAAAGATGTCTGAAATGCACTGCTTTGTATGTTGTAAATCACTGGGTACACAGGAAAAAACTATATGCGTAGAAAGTTCCTAAAATAATCAAAAGCCAAACTGTAAGCCTTTCAAAACTTTACATCTCTAGCTGGCACAGCTAGTAGGTATGTGAGAGAAGCACTAACAAGTAGAGAGATAACTCTGAGGGGAACCCTAGTATTTTCCATCTGCCACAGAGTAAATAGGCCCTATTGATCATCTACCACTTGATTTATACTAAATGTTTTCAAGCATTTCACATCTGTAAATTTCAAATACAAAAATAAGTAAACTTTTATGGGTTTATGGGGATTACACAAACACAGGTAACTAGATTTTTGTCTAGTCTTTCAAAAACGTGTACTAATCAGCAGTACTCAGCTATACCACAGATATTCAGAAAGTGAGTAGAATTTTTTAGCTTTAAAATAACAGCTATCTGAGTTTGGGTTTTTTTTTGAGGGGTCTGAATAATGCAAAAGGAAGAGTGAAAAAGCTTCAGTGTTGGCTTTAGTTGTGTTTTTACTGTTTCTAATACTGGGTCACAGAAGATACACAAAACTTTTACAGCCCCACTATAAAACAGCTCTTTATCTTTTCTCCACTAATTCTGTGGTGTCACATTTAACAAAACTAGGAAACTGGAGATAATATAGATGTTTGCAGATTGATGTCAGGTAATAAATAACACTAATTTCGCATACCTACAAATGTAAAGGCACCTTATCACTGTTTAAGTTTCTCACTCTTTGTAATGCCTGCCAACATTTTAACTCAGGCAAATTACGGTATTGTTTTTGCTGGTTTTTCACTGGGATAAAATACACAGTCATAATATCCTTTTATCAGATTTCATGGTATAAAAGGACTTTGGAACTTAATTCAAGCTGCATGTTGCTGAGACAATTTCAGAGCTCCTGTTTTGGAAAATGTATTTGTCTTACCTTTTAGTCATTGTCTTTTCTTTTCACAGTGGTCTAAGTACCACTTGCCCAAGAAGATGCAGTTGTGACCCTGCCCTGTCAGTGCAATGCTACAGAACTATGGAGATCCCCAGAGAGATTCCTGTTGCCACCAGGAGACTCTACATCAGTCACAGCAAAATTAAACAACTCCAGGTAGGAAAAAATCCAGTAAAAATACTTTTTGTAGTGCACTGTAACCGAAAGCTGTGCTTCCCAGATGGTGGTGGCTTTCAAGTGAAGAAAGAATCTTATTCCACGTCCTAAAAACTGATGAAATCCTGCCAGATCTGGTTTTATTTTTACTTACTTTTTTAAAGATATGTAAATATATTCCTACGTGGTTTTCATTAGCCTGCAGTCTCTGAGCACCAGTTCACACTGCCACAATGATATTTTGTATTAAACTCAAAAAATAGTAATTTACAACTAGGAGACAAATGTTGACTTGTTTTTACATGCCCAAATAACTGAGTTCCAGAGTAATTGTTTAACTTGTTAAAAGCTTTTGCAACTTTTGATACAATATAATACTTTTTCAGAGTACATGGAAAGATTTTATGTATTAAAATAATTTCCTTAATAAATGAAATTGAAGTTCTTTCCCCCCTCTGCAGTTGCAAGTGTCAGGTACAACTGCTATTAGAAATGGCAGAGGAATTAAGTAACTTAGACTTTAAGGCAGAATGTGAGATGTTTCTAAAAGTAATGTTAGGCTTATCTAATAACTCATATAAACAGTAGCAGGTTATAACTGAAGCTGCCAGCTATTTGTGTTGTTAAAAATGTTCATTCTGGGTTTCCTGAGGCATAACTGAGTCCCATTATTAAAGGCATGATCAGTTTATACTAATTTTGCATTATGCTCTGGAACGGCTCTTCTGTTTTCTACCCTGAAATATTTTCATTTAATGAATTCAACTTCTACTGATAGACAAAAGAGAAACACAATTTTACATGTGCTTGCTGTGTATCAATTTACTACAGATAACAAGAAATGTTTGATTCAAGAGAGACATTTTCTCTCAAGTATGCTTGTCCTCCTACAAAGAATATTCCTCTGAACTGCAACTTTGATTTTGCTCTCAGGATTGAATTAAATAGGTTAGAAGGGAAATTGAGCATCATCTGGGATAGCTTTTGCTCACTGAAAAATAGTTATTTTACAATTTAACTCTGAAAAGATTTTACTTTTATTTAGCTGCTACTAGTATCTCTGGTTTTCTTGGTTTAGCTCCCAAACCTACACGGGTTGAAGTTCACTGGTGTGATTTAGCTATATTGATGTGCTTCAGTTAAACAAAAGATCTGTCAAATGAATTTTTTATTAGAAAATACATTTTGTGCGCAAAAAAAAAGAGAAAAAAAATTAATATTTTCTTTCCAAGAGAAGGCAGATGAGCCATGTGTCCTTTCTTAGGCTAGTTGCCCATACCTGTCAGCTTCTCAGTTACTAATAAAGTGGCCTTAGGTTCTGACTAGAGCAAAACACAGGTGTTATAAAGCATTTAAATGTTGGATATAAGTGAATAGAGCAGTGGAATAAATGTTTTATGACTGTTCAGAACAAATGATGCAAGAAACCATCTAAGGGTTTTTTACTTTATACATTCATTCAACTGAGCAATCAGTATACCTTACTTATACTACTGACTTTGCACTGGAAAGTAGTAAGTCCTTTCATGCTATCTGCTTGTAGTTATGCAGATTGTTTCCTTAAGATTAGACTGGGTCTCTGAATATATTTTTCACTTTTCTTTCCATGCAACAAATTATGCTTCTGAGGTCTTGACATCATAAATGCATATGCTTAATTTTACACAGCTAAGAAATTCAACTGGCAGATATCACACTACTTGTAGAAACAGCATTTGATTTTTGCTTGCAAAGTGCATGTTTAGAAGTGCTAAAAGAACTCCATAGGAGGTTTTGTTTGTCTGGTTTTTAAATTCCTTCACTTACTTAATTTTAGAGTTTAAGAAATTGCTTATAACAAATCCCAGTTCATAAAAAAAGGTCATTAAAAAGTGACAAAATTATTAAAATGTTTCTATTTTAACAGCATGTTAGATCCATTTTTATTAGATCTACTTTTTAAAATGTAAAACTGTATTAGTATCACTTTACAGGCAGTCCAGTTAGAGAATAAAATATCACTTTGTAGCAAAAAGATAGCTGGTAAGCGTCTAAATATGTCTGGATTCATATTAGAAAGACTGGGTCATTTGTAACAGCATGGACAAATGTTCAAGTCTCAAAATTGCATAGCCACAAAGCCTAGCAAAGCATACCAAATAGGTGGAAAACAGATTATAATAATCCACATTAAGAAGCCTAACATCATTACAGAATGAATGTCTGTAAATTGACTCTCGTGTAGCTATCTGTCACTTCATAAAATGAAAATTAAGCCTTTTAGTGAGATACATCAATCAACTAAGGAAAAGCAGGAAATACTGGTTTTGAACTTATAACAGAAAATGTGTTGAACTTTCAAAGGTTCACATTTGTTTCCATTTCCTTAAGACTGTTTTCTCACTTAAATATGACTATGCTTTTCTGCTCATGACCAATGCAGTTCATTCCTACGGGACTTCTCATGATAAAGCTTTGAAACATTAGCCTCCTAATCATGACCAGAACTAGACATGCAATTCTGTGATTGCTATAAAGAAATATATATATATTACAAAACTGCATTTATAGACAAAACAGAAAATGGACAACTTCATTACTTACTGTTGAGAATGTAGGGTGGTTTGTTTGTTTGCTTGTTTTTATGGAGGTATATTCCCTCATTCAGCTAAAAAGTAACTCATGGAGAACCCTGCATTAATAGAGGTTCCATATCTATACTTTCTCACTAGCTGCATCAATCGTGCAATGCTCAGAAATAACTTTACAAGACAGAATAAATATAAACAGAAAGTAGCAATGACTAAGGATACCAAAGCAGAATGAAATCTCACTCTCCTTTGACAGCTGTGTGGGTGCTAATTTTAACAGAACTTAAAATGCAGAGTTTGTAGCTAAGGTAAAGAGACACAACCCCAAAACATCCAAGAGTTCGATAAATGAAGGTGGAAATAATATTTTAAAAGTCATGTTTATAAGCTGATTTCACATACACAAGTATAATATCCAAATGTATTTAATCAGGCTCATAAAACAAAATTATTACCCCATACCCACACAGCAAAAGGAATTGCACTGCCTTCCATGTACATTCCTGACTGGGATGAGGGATTATAGAATCATAGAATCCTAGAATAGTTAGGGTTGGAAAGGACCTTAAGATCATCTAGTTCCAACCCCCCTGCCATGGGCAGGGACATCTCACACTAAACCATACCACCAAAGGCTCTGCCCAACCTGCCCTTGAACACCGCCAGGGATGGAGCATTCACAACCTCCCTGGGCAACCCATTCAAGTGCCTCACCACCCTTACAGTAAAGAACTTCTTCCTTATATCTAATCTAAACTTCCCCTATTTAAGTTTTAACCCATTACCCCTTGTCCTGTCACTACAGTCCCTAATGAAGAGTCCCTCCCCAGCATCCTTATAGGCCCCGTGCAGATACTGGAAGGCTGCTATGAGGTCTCCACGCAGCCTTCTCTTCTCCAGGCTGAACAGCCCCAACTTTCTCATCCTGTCTTCATACGGGAGGTGCTCCAGTCCCCTGATCATCCTCGTGGCCCTTCTCTGGACTTGTTCCAACAGTTCCATGTCCTTTTTATGTTGAGGACACCAGAACTGCACACAATACTCCAGGTGAGGTCTCACAAGAGCAGAGTAGAGGGGCAGGATCACCTCCTTTGACCTGCTGGTCACACTCCTTTTGGTGAAGCCCAGTATATGGTTGGCTTTCTGGGCTGCAAGCGCACACTGCCGGCTCATGTTCATTTTCTCATCAACCACACCCCCAAGTCCTTCTCCACAGGGCTGCTTTGAATCTCTTCTTTGCCCACCCTGTAGCTGTGCCTGGGATTGCTCCGACCCAGGTGTAGGACCTTGCACTTGGCATGGTTAAACTTCATGAGGTTGGCATCAGCCCACCTCACAAGCGTGTCAAGGTCCCTCTGGATGGCATTCCTTCCCTCCAGCGTACCAACCGAACCACACAGCTTGGTGTCATCAGCAAACTTGCTGAGGGCGCACTCAATCCCACTGTCCATGTCAGTGACAAGGATGTTGAACAAGACTGGTCCCAACACCAATCCCTGAGGGACGCCACTCGTTACTGGTCTCCAGCCGGACATTGAGCCATTGACACAGCTCTTTGTGTGCGGCCCTCCAGCCAGTTCTTTATCCACCGAGTGGTCCATCCATCAAATTGATGTCTCCACAATTTAGAGACAAGATGTCGTGTGGGACAGTGTTGAACTCTTTGCACAAGTCCAGGTAGATGACATCAACTGCTCCACCCTTGTCCATCAGTTCCATAGCCCCATCATAGCAGGCCACAATGTCGGTCACGCAGGATTTCCCCTTAGTGAAGCCATGCTGGCTGTCCCAAGCACCTTGTTGATTTTCATGTGCCTTCCAGGAGAATCTGCTCCAAGATTTTGCCAGGCACAGAGGTGAGACTGACTGGTCTGTAGTTCCCTGGGTAATTCTGCTGTACAGCATGCTTTATAGTTTCTCTCAATGGGAATAAAATGTGGTGGTAGCTACCTGTCTCTGGGGGAAACAGCATAAAGACTATAGTGTTAGTTTAATATATCTTACTGATGTGATACTCGTGAAACCTGTAGTGAGATGTTTTTTGGGCATGGGAATGGAAAATGAATGAAGACACTCCTTCACACCTCTCCCATGCGGAACACTTGCTTATCTTGCTCTGAGCTTTCTGTGGTTCCCATATAAATGAATTTTTACAAATCAACCACCTAGGCCAATGGGCAGCATCTCTGATAGTTTCATAATACTACTGTTTAAGGAACTGGTGTGCTCAGAGGACTCCCAGATTCACCCTCATTGAATGCTTCCTCTTATTTTGGCTTGGAGGAAACTGCTAGATTCACTTAATTTTGTTTTTTAACTTGAGACGCAGGATTGCAAGCTTTGGTAACAAGCACATTCCAACACAGCAGAAATATAATGAAGCAATTAGTATGCCTCTGTATATTATAGTCATAGTCAGCATCTATTTCCCACTGCAAAGCATATGTTTACTGCCAACTAACAAAAACCTAAGATTGTGTAAAAGCAGTCTGTTCCACTGAGGTGATTTTCAGACCAAGCTGATCTGACACTTTTGGTTTGGTCATCTTAATAATATGTGAGTTTTTTACTTCAAAGGGAAGATGGTGCAGGGAGAGAAGAAATACAAATGTCAGATTTTAGTTTCCTGCAAAAAACTTTATAGTAGGGAGAAGTGATGATATCCATGTATACTTCCCCTGGGGAATACACGCTGCAGTGACAGTACTGCTGATATATGGAAATGGCTGTATGATGAACTCAAAACTACTCCAGCAAGCTCTGTTGAGCATAGTGAACATTAACAACCATCTGCTTTCTGCAAAGACTGTGATAGTAGATCTCCATTTAATGGTAATATTAGATCTCCATTTTATAAAGGCTATCCACCAGGCAGAAGTAAAAGGAATATTCCTTATTCAAACATTGTGTTTGTTCAAAACCAGACACAATATGAACTTAACAAAATTCTAAAAATGCAAGTAAATACTGGCAAACTGCAGGTACCGACAGTAACACTTCTATCATTACCATTTCCCTTAGTGTCTTGTTCTAAATATAAATATAGTTTCTTAATATACACTAGCAATTGTCAGAGCATTCAGAAGAAGTATCCAGTGAGGAGATCCATAAATAGATGGTTTACTATTACATGACTTTTTTATTTCTCTTTAAGATTACTGACTTCAGGAGAATGTCAGCCCTTGAAGAGCTGGTCCTATCATGCAGTGGCACAGAATCAATAGAAAACAACACCTTCAAAGCTCTGAGCACCTTGAAGTCCCTGGAACTCTACAAAAATCAGCTAAAACAAATACCCACCTTCCTCCCATCTGGCCTTGAAATTTTGAAACTCGCTGATAACTCCATCAACACTCTGCATGTATCTGATTTTGAAGGTTTGCTGAAACTAAGAGAGCTCGATATTCGAAACAACTTTATTTCAACTCTGCCTTCAAGCGCATTTTCTTCCCTTTTGAATTTACGGAGTCTGATTCTGGATGGCAACAACATGGAATCTGTGTCTGCACCACTTAAGCTTCCTAGGCTGAAGTATCTGAGCATGGCTGATAATAAACTGAACTCGTTCCCAACCAACTTCTTTGCATCTTTCCAGAGTCTACAGTTTCTCAGTTTAAGTGGCAACTTTCTGACAAAAGTGCCTCTTGACCTACCTAAATCCCTGTTGTCACTAAAATTAGAGAAAAACCAACTTAAAACAATAAGACTTCGAGACATGAAGCACCTAGAAAACCTATATGAGTTCTTCCTGTCAGAAAATCAGCTAACATCAATAGATGGTGTCCAGCTTCTTCCTAACTTAACAACACTGGAGCTCTCTAAGAACCAGCTCCACACTATGCCAATCAGGCTGCCTGGCAGATTGCAGAAACTCGACTGCAGCAGTAACCTGATTCAAAGGGTGACAGCACAGGACTTCCAAGGACTACAAGACCTCAAGCATTTGTTTCTTGACAACAACGCTGTTAGCATGTTTGAGGCAGGAGCTCTTCAGCAGTGTGTGCAGCTTTCAAATCTGGCGCTGGAACAGAATCTCCTCATTTCTATTCCTCTGAGGCAAGTGAATCTGAGGAGAACTTGTTCCCAGGTGTCATCTCTCCTTCCTTACATTATGAGAATGACAGCCAAATAGGAAAAAAAATTGTATTCAGACCCAGTCATGTTAGAAGTCTACCCACACCATAAACCCATTGCCATAACTGGCACTAATTAGCACTCTTGTTAGCAGTTTCAGCATAGAACTGTTTTCATTACCTCTGCAGTCCCAAGTGAATTTACTCATTTCATGTACCTCCCTGACAGTAAGACTACTTTCTTTAATTAGCACACAAATAAGAGGAACCTGCTAGGAGAATATAACAGAATTATTACAGAGGAGTTTTACTGCTGCTTAGATTTATCTTCCCCCATAACATGAAATTAATAGAGCATTCAATAAAAAGGGAAGGCAGCAATTTTAAAGCTGATGTTTCTAGAAACCCACACTGAGTTTATTATTGTTAAAATATTAAGATTTCAGGAGCAAAGTCTGGTCAAAAAGAATGCACTTTTCAGTGGATATTAGCATTTGCAACTTCATTAAATTCACACATTACAAAGTATTTGGAATGCATATAAGCTCTCCAGCCTCAGGCTATAAGTAAAATTCTAGTCAAAGGAACACAGAAGAAACATCCCTTGGGCATGCTGTGTTCATTAATGCTCTGCTTACAGGTTCTCTCGTGTCCATATAAGTGTTGGTCCTGGCCATTATGAGAGATGACATACTAAGCCAAATGGAGGCTGGTCTGATATAAAGTGGCAATTTTATTACTTCAAAAACCTGTGCAATAAAACGGCATAAAAATAGCAAAGTAATTCCACTAACATCAACTCCTTTAACACAACTGCACTATTACATTTTATTTTTTATGGCTTGTGGACAGGTTTAACTAGCCCAAATAAATAATGCAGTAAAATTTCAATTCATTTAGCATCAGGTCCTTTAGCATTTGAATCTACTTGGCAGCAGCTTTATAATCAGAAAGTGATTTAGTGGTGTATAAATATTTGATTTCAGTCTAGCTTGACAGGAATGTTTAATGCTTTCTTGTTACTTTAGTATTGTCTAATCCATCTTATTTTACAACCTTCGCAGTCAAGAGAATTAACAGGAAGGAGTTATCTATTAGCCCATAAACAGTACAGCTCTTAAGGAAATATCGGGGACTTTTTATTTTCAGCTCAACAATGAATGCAGATTTGAAGGGGAGGCTGTAAGCATCAAAAAGGGGAATAAAAATTACAAGACATAAAATTTATGGACTTAATTTATCTGATGATCACCAGGTATGCATGGATATACAGAAATAAAAGTATTGCTTCTAACAGTTACCTGAGAACTCAGTCATCAGCGTCAAAGGTTAAGAAATACAGTTAATGTGCTACCGTGAATGGATCCTAGCAGTTATTCAGCAGGAACGGGGAAAAAGAAAGCTTCTTTTGTTTTTTGTTGGTTTTTTTTTTCTGAGAATAAAATAATCCACAAGTCCAAGTATTTTCAGGACTTGTAGAAAAGGGCCTATACTTCTTGCAGGGACTGGTGAGAATGCAGGCAGGAGTCTGATGATACTCCCTGGGGTGGCAGCAGCACGATACGGCTGCCACAGTCAGCTCTGAGGTGAGTGGGGCTTCTCTGCCATCAGCAGGATCATGCATCATATACTCCAGTGCCATTATTTTCTCAAGACTAACACAGCCTGAAGTCAAATAATATAGCCATAAAGTCAAAGTCTAACTTTAGTATATAAGACCCTTCACAGGTTTAAGGACTTGGTGGTCAGGCTTTAGACTGTAATCAGTCTGGATAAACATCCTAGGTTTTTGACATCAGTGGCACTAGTTTTACCCCAGCATACCCTTCTGACATTACAATATCACATTGGGCAACTACAATCATCACCTGTGGCTAGGTTTCAAAACATTTAATGCAGCCACAAGATTGACTTTTGTGGAGTACCAACACATGAAATTCTCATTTCCCCCAGGAAATACATCACGATACAGAACTGCCCTACTCTTGAAACAGTCCCACTGGAGTTGTGAGATTTACACAAACATGGCAACCACCTTTCAGCCTAAGAGGTCAAACTCAGCTTCACAAAAAACATCCACTGAGGGTCATGATGTAACTTCTTGGTAATTTTTAAAGGTATCTTCTATCATTACATTGATTTAAGCTATCACATCAACCTTTACTGGTTGTTGTAGTATACTGTTCTATTCTAAATAGCTCTTGGTAGTACCATCTATAATTTCCCTGAGAGCTTTACTGAATCAGCTTCCTTAAAATCTGACTCTTAATTTCCTCACTTTGAATACTACTTTAGTAAAATGATTTTTAAGCTACTTTCAAATTCATTGTATTAAAGATAGTCCACGTCAGTTAAGTGGCTTTCTGTTAAGTGCTTGTCACTAACTACATATAGCAGGAAGAAATGAGAAGATTCTAAGTGAGCAAAACTTTTGAAATAAAGTAGTCTTATCATACAAGATGTACAATGCAAGATGTATGAAAATAAGAATGGTACTGACCAGTCTAATATCATATCCAGAGGTTATCAGCTTTTTTTTTCCTTTTAAATGTAACCAGTTCTTATTTTCTAAAGTACAATTTAAAAAGACCATCAAAAACCACTTCTATTTTCCCTGTTGCTGATTTCTTAAACAGAATATCATCAGACAGGCTGCCTCTGTGATGATTAATGTTTGAATCTGATGGGATCAGGAGAACAAAATGGAGGAAAAATTCTAGCTCATGAACTAAAAATTCTTTTTAAACAAACTATGCATAAAAGTACTTGACGGAGTAGTGTTGCCATGTTTCTCTAAACTTTTGATCTTTCATGGTGCTATGATTTTGTCATTGGCATACTTACGGCATCAAAAGTACAAAATGCATTTTTAAGCTTGACACTCAGTTGAACACATTCTTCATAACAGTGCAGCAGGACTCTCTTCAGTTGAACAAACACAGGTAAGAACTGAGAAAACAGTTCAAGTGTGCATAGACATTATTCCTATAACTTAAAGAAAAGGACATGAACACTTCAGGACAACATGCTATTTTGCAGAAGACTGCATTTTTTTGTTAATGAGAGTATTATCTTAATATGTCAGATGTTCCTGGGCAAATACTCACTGCCAAACACCACTTACACAAACAATCAGTATGATGAACATAACACCTTTGTGTTGCTTTGTTTTTATTCAGACTTCCAGACACCCTTGCTAGATTGGATCTAAAGGGAAATGACATAGAGGATGTTGGAGAACAGGAGCTGAAGGACTTGAAACAGCTTCAGGTTTTAAATTTACGGAATAACAAGATATCTGCCTTGGATCGCAAAGTCTTAGAGTATTTACCCCGTCTTCGTCATCTGTATTTAGACGGAAACCCTTGGAACTGCACATGTGACCTTCTCAGAACCAGAAGAGCACTGGTGGCCAAAGGGACTGATGTTAGAGGAGGGCAGTGCGTGGCGCCAGCAGAAAGCCGAGGAGAAAGTTGGATGTCTTCCAAAAAGATTCTGCAGCAGTGTGAAGATAATCTGTCTTCCATGGAAAGAGGCAAAGAGGACAGAAAGAAAATGAAACCCAGTGAGGCCTCCAGCATTGGAGTGAACACAGATGATGACTACTATGATTATGAATTAGACTGATGCCATGGCTATGAATTAGACAACCCCATGCTTGTCTGGAGCTGCCGACTACCACCAGCATCTCTACTGACAACCGTCTGCTGACCTGACACTAACTTTTCCTCTTTAGTTTGTGCTATAAGAGGTAATAGCTAGTGACAGAAGGGCTTAATAAGGATGCCATTGTAAACTGAAAGTCGTAAAAAATGCAAATTGTTTCTCTATCCCACTAGTACTATGTAGTTTGAGGCAAGTAAGAATACAATTACTAACTCTTAGAAAAGCAGTCTGTAATGCTGTATGGACCTTTTTATAGTAGTACATTCTTATAGTTGCATAAAACTTCACAAATAAAATCCTGCAAAACCACAAGATACTATTACTAGGAGTCTGGCATTCAACACATTTAAACTCACAGGTCTGCAGTTGAGATGGAGTTACACCTATGTGACCAACTTCTCAGGACTGTTCAAAGATTATCACTTTTAAGAAATTAAATTTCTGTTTTCCTGAAGTATTTGCCTCTTTATTTTAGACTACTTCAAATGACAGACTAATTTAGCAGAGGACCAGGCAAAACAAGGAAGGCTAATCTTCATCACAGCAAATGCAAGAAGAATCAGTGTTGTGATTAATGAGACTTAATGCTAGTTCCAAAGTTAATTAATAGTGAGGAATGAAAACACTGGGGCCAACTTGACACGATTCTACTGTTGCAAATAGAAGAAGGGAGATTCACAGGATCTGAGTTCTCAGATTCTTTACCTCTGCCAAATACTGGGGTAAGATCAAGTGAAACAAAGTGTTTGGAAGAGTTTATTTTGGTAGCTGAATAGCTACCTGACTACGATACAGCTTACAATGCTGTGTGTGTACACTTTTTGGTTAGGTGTACTTCACGTGGGAGTACACACTGCAAGTGCCCTCCTTCACTGGCAGTGACCTTCCAGACTTCTGCAAGAAAAATAAAGGACTTAATGGTACATGCGTCAGCTCTGATGTATGGACAAATTTTATTGAACAGCTTCCAAAGTGCTTGAAAACTAAACAGAACTGAATGACTGAGACCACTAAACCCAGTGATTTACAAACAGCAACCTAAGGGGTTTCCTGGCAGTCCATAATCTCAGCTGATAACCAAGGAGTAATCACACCAGCAAATCACTTTTCAAAGCAAACAGTCTCTATTATTCTTTATCTTTTGCTGGCAGTCAGTAACTGAGTAATGCTCACATTCATGGAGGCTGTTTTGTCAGGTGTCAGTGCAGCTATTTGGTTATACTGTCTATGCAAATGCAATTGACACCTGGGTTTCTTAGGCACCCAATGCATTAACAACTGGAATAAAACCACCTGATTTAATTTTCCTTCACATTTTAACTTTTTTTACATATCATCAGCCACCCAAATGTTTGGAAGCTGAAGATTTAGGTATTTATGAAACAGCAAAAGCCTTCCTCATGGTTTGATTGTGTTGCTTTTGCGGCCTAGTGTTGGTCTGTATTGCAAGCCTTGGAAGTAGTTATTTTCTGAGCAAAAAAAAAAAAATATTTTTGTGATACAGAATTTTTCATTCAGCTTTACATTGGTGGATTCTTTTAACTGAGCACTTTAAATACGTCCCTGTGCCACATCAGCCCACCTATCTGTCTGGCAGCAGAGGGCTGGCTCCCTAGATCTCACTCTATCTTCTGCCTGCAGTGGGATTTATATCTCCAAATCTGTGGGCCACTACAAGCAGAAAGGAGCCAAAAGAGCCAAGGAGCCAAAACCTGGGAAGTGCAGGTTTTGTGGGAGCTGGCAAAGTAGGGCATGCACCCCCAAGGCCTGACTGCCTCAGCCACCACAGGGGCACACTCAGTGTGCTTCTAGGGGCCACGCTACCCCCCGTATCCCATGCCCGCACTGCAGAATCACACACCGAGTGCTCGCAGGGTGCCCTGAGGGTGAAACATGATGTCTAACACAGACACCCACGCGGCACGGCTGCCTCTGTGGCGATCAGATCTGCCCCCATCCCGGACTCCATCGCAGACGAGGTGCTACAGGCGCCCAGAGGACCAGACAACAGAGCAGAGGAAGTGCTGCTGCAGGCTCCACGCCAACACCAACTCCCGCCGCTGGCCCGCGTTTCCCGCCCCAGCCGCGGCCACCAGGGGGCGCGGCCCGGCGAGACCCTGCCCACTCCGGCTAGGCGGGGCGGGGCGGGGCGGGGCGGGGCGGGGCGGGGCTCAGCTCGCCCCTCCCGCCCGGGCCGTTCCCAGCCTGTCCCCCGCCCCGTCCCATCCCTCAGAGCCACGTCATTCGCTCTCCGCGGGCGGAAGTGACGGCGGGCTGTCTGGCAGCCAACGGGTGCCTTGCATGTGGCGGGGTGAGAGGTGAAAGATCAGGCGGGGCGGCAGGAAGATGGCGGCGCCGGCGGTTGTTGCCGGGCGGGGGACGCTAGCTCCGTGAGTGCTATGGCGGCGGCGGCGCGGCGGACGGCGCGTAGCGGCTGAGGCACCCCGGTTCCCTCCGTGACCCTCCCGCGCCGCTGCCCCGCGCGCTCCTGTCGGTTGGTGGCGGTGCCGCCGCGCTCCCCTCCCCCCCCTCCATGAGCGGGGCGGGCGGGCTGGCGTGGCGCGCGCTGCACGCCGTGCTGCGCGCCCTGCTCTGCCTGCAGCGCGCGCTGCTCGCCTGCCTGCGCGGCCGCGCCGCCGCCGGACCCCGCGCGTGGCTGTGGCGCCGCGCGGCCTCCGCTGCCGCCTCCTGCGCGCTCCTCGCCCCCGCCGGGGCCTTCGCCTTCCGCAAAGCCGGCGCGGCGCGGCGGCGGCCTCGAGGCGCGGCTCAGGGCCGGCAGCGGTGGCGCTCGGACGGGCGCGCCCTGCAGAAGCTGCCGGTGCACATGGGGCTGGTGGTGACCGAGGAGGAGCCGAGCTACGCGGACATGGCCAGCCTGGTGGTGTGGTGCATGGCGGTGGGCATCTCCTATGTCAGCGTCTACGACCATAATGGTGAGCAGCGCTGGTGGTAGCGGCATGTCGTTCGGCGGGGTGCCCCGAGGTCCGGCGCGGGCGGTCCCCTCCCGGCAGGGGCTCGTTACAGCACCGGTGTGAGGCCAGGGTCCAGCCCTGCCCCAGGGTCTTTCCGAGCCGGGTGCCAGCCTCGCTGTGGCAGCTCCCTGTGCGTCCCCTGAAGCTGCCTGACCTCTGAACAGTCTCTAGCCATAGTAAGCTAGGTGAATGTCTCTAGCGCCTTCCTGGCCCGGCTCCTGGGCGGGATGAGCTGGCCCTGCATGTGCACTGGAAGGGGCAGGTCTTGGAGCCGGTCTAGGGTCTTATTCCCAGCCCTGGGCTGACAGGAACTGCTGGTATCTGAGAGTCGTGACATTGTACAGGCTGTTAGTAAGAACTTTAGGCTACATACTTTTGGGAGCTGAGTTTATGGACTATGTCTGAACTGCCAGAAATGGATGAATGACATTAGCCGTTTATTTTCATGTACTCTTCCTCATGTGAACAAACAGGTAGCTAAACATAAGCACGTGTGTTCTGCATGCTGTCAATTTTGTAAAATTGAATTACATGGTCTGCATTTGATGTAATGACTGGTGCTATTTAATGTTTGAGTTTCTGAGCTGGTACCTGTGAAAACTTTTTTTTTTTTTCTGTCTGCTGTGTGATTTTTATTCATTACTGGATCTCAGTTGTAAGACTGTTGAACTCACTCTTGCAGATACATTGATTCCACATCACTGAATATCTCAAATATAAGGTCAGGGTTTAGATTTAACATTCTGTGGAATAATCATGGTACAAATCTATCTTCATAATTCCTGTGCTTTCCTGTTGAGGTGATGAGATCAACCATATTCAAGGTAGTCTTGGGTGAAACTTTCTACCCAGCTGCTGAGAGATGATCTGTGAGAGTACTCAAGCTGCCAAATCGGAAGGACGAATGATACATAAGATGGACTGTGTCCTGTTTCTGTCCTCTCGGAGGAGAAAGCTTCAAGCTGAAGATCCCATGCTCTTGTTGTCAGTGGTGAGACTGCAGGAGACCAGTGTTTAGCTGTTTTGAGCTGCTTCTTATGGCTGTCTAGACATGACATGCACATTAGGTTAACTGCAGATTTATGCTAGGCTAGAGGTACAGTCTGCAATACTGTTCTAGTGCTCTTTCTGGAAAAACTCCACAGTGCATCCTACATAAGTAGGTGGAATCTGTTGTCATTAACTGTGCAAATGCATCTGAGGTACGCAAGCCTTTCCCAGAGCTTAGGCATTAGTGATTTTATTTATTGTTTAAACCACTGCCTCTGCTAGTTCTGTTTCATATTTGTTCTTCATGTGAGATACAAGACTCAATTGGCTTGACTTTCACTAAATTCTCCAAGATCTTTTTTAAGAATCTAGGCTTAATACCAGTCCTTTAGCAGCTTAAACTGGCCATCTGTGCAGGGCTGTTGTGGTTCTTGGTTATGTTGTGTTTCAGTGAGAGAATACTTCCTCATTTGGAAGTCAAGGAATGTTATGCTAATATTTTATACCATCTCAGTGACACAGAAAACAGAGCCTTCTGAAAATCCATTCATGTGTTGATATTTTTTGCTCTCAGCTTGGAAAGCATTAAGCCGGGTTAAGTGCTGCAGAGCAAAATTTAGTACCAAACAAGAGTGACAGTTACCCTCATAGCCTGAAGAGAGAGATTTTTACCACACAGGATCTCCAGTTTCTGTCCAGCCTCAAATAAGCTCCCCGCAGCATTGCCTAATATGTTACGTATGCATGCTTAGTTCCTTTTTAGATCTCTGCATTTTGCTGCAGAAATCGTGAGCCATGCTTCTTGGTTGTCTTGGTTTTCAGCTTGTTTGCTGCGCAACCATTCAACGCAGAAGAGGGAGAAGGTACCAGTCAATGCTTAGGCAGCCACTGTCGCTGAGATCCTGTCTGGCATGGGGGAGCAGCTGCTGTAGTAGTGTCAGACACCATTGTGTGTCTGCTTCTTCAGCACGTGTTGAGGTCCTATCAGATCTAAGGCTGGCTGTTACAAGACTGTGAATATGATAACCAGAAATTACAAGGTTATGCCCTCTGAAGAGCAGTGGAACTGAAATAATGTTGCAGAACAATTGTCTTTGTTAGCAGTTTGGAAAGAAATATCTTGGAGATTATTTGCTGCTGTTCCTGTGTATTGTTACGTTCATGCTAAATTTGCATGCTAAGAAGTTAACACCTTTGAAATCTGAAAATATAGCTGTGATCTTATGGCGTTAGTGTCAAAACATAATGCTTTTCAGTAGTGCATTCTTCTGTTAGTCCTTTGATACCAGAATAGGCTGGTTTAATTGCCAACTTGAATTCCAGTTTGTTGGAATGTAGTTGAAAAAGGCAAGGCAGTGCAGAGCAACTGAAGTGTTTTAAATCAGTGGCTTTTGTCAGACTTTCAGAGTTGATGAGAGTAGCCTGTCATTATGCATGCATGTTCTTCACAGGTGTTCAGTGAGTTATCTGGG